TTGGGTTTAACCCAAAAATACCATATTTCTTTCTCCTCGCCTCAGGCAGGCGGGCCAGCATCTCCGTTATAGTCTTGAGACATCTGGAGGTAGGACGCACAGGTCATATTTTTATTTTTAAATTTCTAACTCTTCATGGAGAAAGTGCTTTTGATGCTGATAAAGGGCTCCTGATCCAAGGAATTGAAAGTACACTGCCCTTCTTTGGATCATTCCATTCCGTTCCCCAGATGCTGTAAGACTTATGATTTCAACGCTTCCCCAGGCAACACCCAGGCCCCGTTGCCTGGCTGGAAAAGCTCTCTCTTGACACGCCCACAGGATGGTATGGGGTGCATAATAAACATATTAAACTAACTAACTTGACACGCGGAGGGCCCAGGTTCAAGTCCTGGGTGGATGAAAACATTTCGACGCGTTTCTTACACCAGTTGTCCCGTTCACCTAGCAAGCAGGTACCTGGGTGTTAGTCGGCTGGTGTGGGTCGCATTCTGTGGGACAAGACTGAGGACAGAGTCCATCGATGACGCACTGCCTTTCTTGGGTTATCCTAGGTGGCTAACCCTCCTGCGTTAAAAATCAATAATACTCAAATAATGATACACTACTGCATCTGTTTTTCATTATAAACCCTGCAAAACTGACCTGGTTCTTTAAGTTCAGTAACTCCCTCTGATGAAATTTTACTTCTTTCTTTTAATATTCAATAGGCCATACTAGATTTTTGAATGATTTTTCTGCATGACCTACATAAGGCAGTTTTTCGTCCTAATGGAGTACAGGATGTCTTAAAATTTGTGAGTGGGTGGAGGTTCCTGGTGTGGCAAAGTACCTTGGAAGGGGAGAAAGGTCGCCCAGCCCACTGACTCACCTTTCACCTGCCCACACAACACTTCCTCCAGTAGGTAACCTACAACTGAAAGTGATACCCCCGTTCTTTCTCGCATGTAATTGCCTATTTGTAATTCTCTTTGCAATTACCTATTTATATTTGCCTACTAGTAATTGCCCATTTGTAATATATTTGCAATTACCTTTCTGTAATTACATATTTATAATTGTTCGTAACTATTTGTGATTTTCTCTCTCTCGGATACGAATAATGCCTGTTCAGTTTAATTGGCCATTTGAGTATATATTTTATATTAGCCTAACTATAAGGAATAAATTTAGACTGTCTTGCTGGTTAATTGTTGCAATTGAACAGAAACACATTACAGAAACACACTTGTTATTCATATAAGTTTGTGAGTTTATGAATTGATGACATAAAACTAGCAGAAATAAATCCTTCACTAAGTTTTTTAGCAAAATATATAGAAACTCCACACGAGTCTTAACAGTTTAGAAGATACTGTTCGGTAGAAAATTTACCACTATAAGGGTATAATACCAAGAGGTTTATCTGTCAGTGTATATACCCTGACTTTAATTAAGCTGTTTCATGGATTCAAGTATTCTTGATTAGCGGCGCACGACATCCTCCATTTATGATCATTGTGTGGTTGATAGCCTTTAAGCCTAATAAACCAGCTTGGCTACTCCGGTTCATCAGTAGGCTGAGAGGAACGCCACTGTTAATTCCCGGAATAAATCAAAAGTAGACTACTGGCACAAAAAGTTAACTGAAAACTTGACGAGGAAGCCCATTGTGACAAAAAATAATCTGTGAAAGTCAGTACAACAGAATTTTGAGTTTAATGGACGAATTAAACAGTTGGTAAGCCATTAAACAAGCACATGCTTTCATATTTTTATAACGAGTAATTCTTACTGCATCTTTGCTGTGAATGATTCTTCTCCCATACCTCAGCTCTAGAGCATCGGCCAGTTCTCCAACCCTCTCACCTCTGTAGCCCAAAACAATCTTATATTCGCATAGTATTTGCAGTTTATGAAAAATGCAACAAATATACGCATGCAGAGGGGGCTGCAGAAGTTTTATATAGGAAAAATCAAATCAGGGAACGGGTGGGGCTTGAACCCATGACAGTCTGGTGGGGAGAGGAGGCTAGGGGAATTGTCTTAAGGCAGTTATTATCATTATTATTATTATTATTTGGGAAACTTTGGCGGCTGATGAAATTTTGAAAACTTTGCACAAGGCTTATTTCTGCTAGGGATCGGCCTTCTTCGGTATTAACTTACCCTACATTTTCGTTGATAAAATTACCAGGCAGGGGCGCCATTATCACAAATAATTTAAGGGGCTAAGTTTGGCTTACTATTTATCTTTCTTTTATCTCTCCAAACTCACTTTTAATGAAAAAGGTATTCACCCTTCATGGAAGGGGGCTGCCTTGATACCAGTAAAAGGCTCTTAATTCAAGAAATTTGAGTTACCATCTCCTAGAATCAAACCTAATTACCCCTTCACCACCCTTCCCGTTCCCAAGGCGCTATATTACTTTTAATCTTTTCGCGCTCCCGTATGAAGGCGTTAATAATACTAGTTAAGACCTAGAGCGAGGGTGATAGAGGATGGAGTGGAGGAGAGTTGAGAAGGGAAAAGAATTCTCGAGAATAGGAAAGGGTGGAAGAGGAAGTGGTACAGCATAGGAAATGGAAGGTGGGTGAGTTGGGGAAGGTAGAGTGAGGGTGAGGGATGGTGTTGAATCAGGAAGACAGAGTGGTAAGCGATGATTGGAGGATTAGCAACCCAGGACGACTCAAGAAAGCCAATCAGTCTTGCTTATTTCCTTTGGGGTTCTGTGATTCTCTTACCCCTTAACGCGACCTAAAGCAGTCGGCTAACACCCAGGTACCTACTAACTGCTAGGTAACAGGTGTAGGAATTGGTTCAATCCCATTCGAGAGGGGACTGAACCAGTTCCTTCAGATATAAACCAAGGGGACTATCACATAAAACTCGGGTTGGATCGCCTCTGTGGGGGTTATTAGCTTTTCCTAAGTTCATGCCCCTGATGTGTGCGTGTCTGTGTACACGAGGAATGTGCAGGTAAACATATTTCTCACTGACTATGGCATGCCATAAACCGGTCCTGTGATGCAAGTAGTCACGCAGGAGCAAGGTGTTGTGTCATTACCTACCTCCAGGACGCACTCACATGCACACACATAAGCAAACTTTCACTATAATTGCCCACAACTTGTCCAGTGTCATCATATACAGCTTTATAAAGATTTTCCCGGAAATTGCGCAGCACCGACTTAAAATATTGCAGCATTCTTTCTGCAATCGACTGACTCAGAGACAGTTTCGAAAAATGGTGGTAAATACTAAATATTTTTAAGAGGATGGATGATAGAAAGTAACGCTACATGATCAATTAGTATACTTTAAATAGGAACAAGTGACCTCAGGGGTAAATTCAGAAAAAAAGTGGAACCGAAAAGATACTAGAATTTTTTCAGAGACGGACTAATGAAAATTATTTTTTTTGACGATGAATTAATTTCTGAAGACGGGATATGATCATCGAGAAATACAGGCAACTGATAACCTTTATATTGGAATATTATTATTTTAATTTAAACCGTAAATTAATGTGTGTGCGTGTGCGTGTGTGCGCGTGCGTACGTGTTGTGTGTACTCACCTAATTGTAGTGGCAGGGGTCGATTCATAACTCCTGGCCCCGTGTGTGTGTGTGTGTGTGTGTGTGTGTGTGTGTGTGTGTGTGTGTGTGTGTGTGTGTACTCGTCTATATGTGGTTACGGGGATCGAGTCTCAGCTTCTGGCTCCGCCTCTCAACTTGCTGCTTGCCGGATTCGCTCTTTCCTAGCCTCGTCTGCCCTATCGTACCTATGTTATGGAGTCTACCTACACTACGAGACAGTTCCACTTCCTGACCACCCAGAGAATGAAGAAATACTGTGGCTCATGTCTTTAATTTCCAACTGTGCCCCAAAGTGCCTGTTTCCCGCCTCTTTAACAGCATGTCCTTATCTACCCTCTGAGTATTTTGTATGTTGTTATCATGTCTTCCCACGTCATTCTGTCATCCAGGGTCGTTAGATTCAATTTCTTTAGCATCTCTTTGTAGCTCATTCCCCTTCAATTCAATTCAATTCAAAGTTTATTCTCTATAAGGATTACAATGCTGAGTTTACAGAAATTTGGTTATTGTTTGGTTTACATGTAGTAAAATTGTGATTACAGAGTGTACCACTAGAACGCTTAGCATGGCTAGGCATTTCGGGCATACTTAGTTTTATTCTTAATTGTAAAATATTACAAATTATGAGGTAAGTTGGTATTATGGCTAAGTGACTAAATACTAGTTTGTGAGTTTAGCAATGTGAATGCTTTTGTTTTGGCACAGTACATAGTTTCAGTATTGGAGTATCACAGGATTCATTATTTTAAGACTGAGATTAATATTTCTGTTTGTTTATGGTCAAATGAGTGAGTGAGTGTAAGTGTGAACCACCAGGTGGTATTCGTGTAGTTAGTTGACGGGGTGTATTAGGGAGATAAGATGTTTTCTAATGGTAGTTTTGAAGGTGATGAATGTGTCTGCAGTTCTAGACTGGGGCTAGTCTCGTTGCATTACAACTTGCATATTTTTGCACTTTCTCCAGTTGCCAGCATGCTTCCTCGGGTGTTGGTTCCATGCTGGTGCTACATATGTTATATAGGCCTGTCATCTGTTGTATAAAGCGGCCGTAATGACGCTTTGTTGTGATTCTTGAAGGCCATCACTCTCAGTTTTGCTAAGCCAGAATTGCCTGCAGAGGCTAATAGGCTGATGTGAGCCTCTGGTGATGTACTGGTGCCTAGAATATCAACAGAGAAAGAAAAAATATTATTATTAGTAGTAACTGATGCTTAATTATCAAAACCATGTGAGGTTATATACCATTTTAGGTGATAGCCCAATAGGCATACCTGGAGAAAAATAAAGTATAAAATTTTTCTTGGTTATATACTAAGCTTTCGTTTTCACCTAGAGGATGAACTGTTTTTTTGTACTATATTTTTTTTAATTAATATCATAAGTGAGACTTGAGTGAAAGTGACATGACTTTTGTGGTTCAGGATATGATGCGGTGGTCAGCGCTGACGGCGGTGCTGACGGTGGTGATGGTGGTGACGCAGGTGGAGGCCACCTGGAAGTGGAAGGAGGAGCAAACTCCAGCTCCTGGCCCCGCCTCCGCCTCCTCTGTCGTCACTTCCTCCTCCTCCACCTCCACCTCCTTCTCCTCCTCCTCGTATTCTTCTGTGGATGAGGTGAGTTGCGTTAAACTGTAAAATACTACAATGTACCTTTGTCAGCAACATTAATAATGATATAAAATGTAAATAAACGAATAATTATATTTCAACAATCATCAGGTATAATTACCATCATAGAAAATGTGATTATCAATGTTAAAAATTAGAACATCTGTTCAGTCACAAAAAAGTTGGTGTCTACACAGGATGGATCGTACGTGTCACCAGTGTCTACAACCTCCCCAGGACCAGACACGGATCCAGGGTCCTTAGAGGTGGCGTCCCCAGGACCAGACACGGATCCACGGTCCTTAGAGGCAGCGCCCTCCGACACGGAAGCCAGGTTCATTGGTCCTCTCAAGAAAAAATTATGCTCCGTTGGCCTAGGCTTTAATGTGAGTGCCGAGGAATGGGAGTAAGTAGGAAGACATAGCAGACCTTACAGCCTACACACGACAGATCTAAAACGAACTACCAGTTCTCGAGATTCTTCTGTTTCTGTCTAGAATCTAACTGAGGTTAGGGGGTAATGGCTTGAGGAATGCGGTAAGGGATGGGAGAAGGGAGAGGAAGAATTTATGAATAGTGAGAAAAGGGACTTGGGATGGATGGTACATAGGAGTTACCTGCAGTTTACCTGGAAAGGGTTTCGGGGGTCAGCGCCCCCGTGGCTCGGTCTGTGACCAGGATCTAATCAACCAGGATCTTCCTGCTGGCAACACGCAAACTGACGTACGAACCACAGCCCGGTTGGTTGTTAAAAAGGAACTGATAATGGGATTTGAATCATCGTATAGCAGAAAAATATGCGTAGTGCTGGTGTGCCATTAAGATGTATATCTAGAGCACAAAAAAGGATTCTGGGATAGAAGGTTAGATAGCTAAAACCATCATAGTTTTGGATTTAAAGACTAAATGGTAGGTAGGGGGATAGGAGAGAATGTATTACGCTCGAGCTGTTGAAAAAATCTATTTCAAGATTTACTCTTGGATATCCAGACATTTGTAGATGAATGGTTCAGAGAACCGACATGTTGATAAATTAGACACATGTGCAACTCTTGGGTATCTTTATTGAGGAAACGTTTCGCCACACAGTGGCTTCATCAGTCCATACAAAGGAGAATCTTGAAGAACAGGAGGAGAATGAGGTAATCAGTCCCTCAACCTTGAGTCGATGTGGTCAGTCCATCAATCTTGAAGCCACTGTGTGGCGAAACGTTTCCTCAATAAAGATACCCAAGAGTTGCACATGTGTCTAATTTATATCCAGACATACCTGGAGAGGGTTTCGAGGGGTCAGTGCCCCCACGGCTCGGTCTGAGACCAGGCTTTAGTCACATCTGACCCAAATACGATTTTATCGAGCGTTTAGTGTTAAGTTTCACTAGACCCTGATCAGCAACGCGGGAATTTCAATAGAACTTGAATAGTTTGGTTGCAAAGGACTACATAGAATAGGTTTTGAGATAATAAGAAACTAATGGCTTGACGAAGACTGAGTATGTGTAAGATAGACACAGTTACCAGGGATACTTATGCGGGTAATTAAACATGTGCAGTAATATATAGGGATCTGTTTATGGTGGAGAACAAAACAGGATAATATCAGTTGTCTTGGTGACACTACACTGTGAGAAAGGGAGGGGTGGATGGGTGGGGCACAAGAGGGGTGAGTGATGTGGAAGAATATATGTACAGTGATGGTGGGAGGGAGGAAGGGGTGACACCAGCCACTTTCACTTTTTCCAGACATGCTCCTTGATTCTTTTTTGTCTGATAATATATAGTATATATATTATATTTTTTAGTTTACATCATAAAATTGTATTAAATTGCAGTTTATTTTTGAAGATTATATTAGAATTGGGCCTCTTCTGGGATGATTTTTAGTTATATGTAGATCTTAGCTTACGTCTGGCAGCTCTGTCAATGAGGACGCTGCCAGAAACTTTTGTTTTGTTTAGCAATCTTTTTCTTGCTTCCTGTATTTTTTTTTTTTACAAACCTGAGGATGTCATACACAACCTGAATTGTTAACTTTCTCTTGCAGAACAATATAACGGTAATACATGTTATTCAAATCTGAGTCTTCGAGCCACTTTTGGTATATCAGTGTAAGAAATAATTTAAGATTGAAGTCCAGGAATTTTACTAATTATTTAGCAATTATTGAGAATTTGTTTGCCAAACTCAGGAAATCATAGCTTGAAATAAATACTCAGTTTAAGTTTGCAAGACATATATAATCAATGTTCAGATTCTTGATTATGTTACACATGAAAGTATATGTTATTAAAACCGCTATTAATAAAGATCCGGTATCATTAAGGCATGTGATATTGCATAATGATACCGGGTCCAGTCTGTATTTGTTTTATGTACTAATAATACTAACATGAAGACTGGCACATAGTGTGGAGACAAGGGGCACAAACTACCCACCCATCACTACGGCAAGCCGGCGGACCCCCACGAGATTCGGTACATCCAGCCTGTTGTGATCCGGCCTATGGGTAAGCCTATCCCAGCCCTCCCATATAACCACGGCAGCGGTGGCAGCTATGGCGTCGGTGGCAGCTATGGCGTCGGCGGCAGCCATGGTCTCGGCAGCAGTTACGGCACCACTTTCCACGGTAACAAGCATCGCTACGTCTCCTACGGCGAGACACCCCCAAGGCCTGTTGGTGGGGGTAGTGGTTCTTTCCATGGTGGCTCTTCTTACAGCACTTCCAAGCAAGTTGGCTCCTTCCAAGGTGGTTTCTCTCATGGTGGTTCCTCGCAAGGGAGCTTTTCCTATGGTGGTTCTAAGTATAGTGGCTCCTCACATCCTGGTTCCTCTCATGGTGGTTCCTTCCATGGTAGTTCTTCCCATGGTGGTTCCTTTCAGAGTGATTCCTCCCATGGTGGTTCTTCCCATTACAATACCGCCAGTGCCCCGTCTGAACCCACGTACGGTGCTCCCAAGGCTTCCTCCATTATACACAGCACTCCATCACCTGTGTCATATGGTGGGCCACAGGGTCCCTCGGCATCGTATGACGGATCCTCGGTATCTGGGGGCAACACGCAAACAGTCAAGCACATCCACATCCATCAACACACTTACAAGCTAGAAAACGCTGGCTCAGGAGGTCTCTATGGAGTCGCTAGTCCTGCCACCGGATATGGTATCAACGGTGCAAGCACTGGAGGAATTGGCTATGAAGTTGCTAGTCCAGGTAATGGGTATGGTAACAGCGGCGGTAGCACCGGAGGATCCAGTTTTGGGGTTGCTGTTTCAGGAGATAAGTACGGTAACAGCGGTGGTGGCACTGGAGACGCCAACTTTGGGATCGCTGGTCTGGGCACTGGGTATGATAACAGTGGTGGTGGCAGTGGAGGAGTAAGCTATGAAATTATAGAGGGCGCTAATCTGGGCACTGGATATGGCGGTGGGGGCACCGGAGGAAGCAGCTATGGAATTTCAAGTCTGGGCACTGGGTATGACACAAATTTTCTTTCTAGTTCTGATACATCCTTCTCATCAGCTTCATATGCTTCGGGAAAAAAGACGCAAACATCAAGAACTCCATTTACAAAATTGAAAAGGAGAATGACTTGAGTGTGAAACCCCTGCCACCGCCTCTTAATGACATATTTGGCATGCCATTTAACGAGTACAGTTCTGATTTAGATGATGTCAGGGAGTTCGTCAGGAGCGAGAGGGAGCCCTTTGGAGAAGGTCGACCTAGGGAGCTCTCCTGCACCTGCGTCCCTGTCGGCCAGTGCCCACAACAGCAGTATCCCACTGCTCCTTCCCATTTTGCCCGGCAAGATCTGAGCGCCCTTCAGGACCCTCGTAACTCGCCTTCGGTTAACGGGGTACTATCCAACAACAGTAATTCCCAACTGCGCAATCGACGAGATACCCAAGTTTTTTTAGATCAGTTAGCTGTGCCTTCACAAGACCGCCCACTGAATCAAATGGCTATGCCCTCACAAGATCGTTCATTAGACCAGATAAATGTGACCTTAAAGGATCGCTCGCTAAAACACAGCAGAGAATTGTTTCCCGATGAGTCTATATTTGATTCTGCTTTCTTCATACACGATGCAGATATTATTACTCTTGAAGAAAGCTTTGCAGGTCTTCAGAAGACCCCTTATCCCAATATTAACATTGTCGGCAGTGCCCTGACTGTTCAGGGCCCCGCCAATGGCCCTGTAAAGCCTTCAGTGGCTTTGTCTAAAGAACCTCTTCCAAGCACAACACCCAGACCCTTGGAGCTCCCAGCGGACTCGAATGATCCATCCAGCCTTAGCAACCAGAGAGAGGGCTTGGTGCATGACGTGACCCAACAATACCTCAGAAGCCAAAAGGATGCTTTGATGCAGGGTACGATCCAACAACACCCTAAGAGCCAGCAAAATGCTGCGATGAAGGATATGACTCAACAGTACCCTAAGAGCCAGAGAGAAGCTTTGGTTGTGGACACTACTCAACAATACCCTAAAAGCCAACGAGAGGCTTTGGTTCTGGACGCTACTCAACAATACCCTAAGAGCCAGCGAGAAGCTTTGGTTGTGGACACTACTCAACAGTACCCTAAAAGCCAGCGAGAGGCTTTGGTTCTGGATACTACTCAACAATACCCTAAGAGCCAGCGAGAAGCTTTGGTTGTGGACACTACTCAACACTATCATAAAAGCCAGCAAGAAGCTTTGGTTGTGGACAGTACTCAACAATACCATAAAAGCCAGCGAGAACCTTTGGTTGTGGACAGTACTCAACAATACCATAAAAGCCAGCGAGAAGCTTTGGTTCTGGACACTACTCAACAATACCCTAAAAACCAGCCAGAAGCTTTGATGCAGGACACGACTCGACAGTACCTTCAGAGTCAGCGAGAAGCTTTAGTTCTGGACACTACTCAACAATACCCTAAGAGCCAGAGAGAAGCTTTGATGCAGGACACGACTCAACAGTACCTTAAGAACCAGCGAGAAGCTTTGGTTCAGGACAAGACCCAACATCTTAAGAGCCAGCAGGCGGTGAACCAGCAGTATCTCAGGAATCTACTCACTAACGTAAGAATTTTACTAACAGTAAAGGTTTTTGCACCTTTTTAGTATTATTTATCATGTGTGTTATGTTGCATGTTTCAGAAAGAGGTTGTTTATAAAGAATGTAAAGATGTAGCAAAGAAACTCCGCTCGCGACGCGAATCTCCCGCTTCTACTAAGGAAGAAGTTAAAGAAGAGACGACACCCGTAAGTTATTACCTGGCATAGGTTTTCCTTAACAACTAACAATGCTGAAATATACTGGTTGTTGAGTGAGGCATCTCACACAATAACTAGACGCATTTTAGCAGCTCCAGCAGCTGAGTAGGATTTTGTAAAGCACTCTCAGTAGCAGTTTCTCTCACAGTATTTGCACCCACAGTTCGTTACCAACAATTTTTTTTTCATCCTTTCACTCTTGTGATTATAATGTTTATATAATGTAGCCACTGCATGCTGTGTGGCTTTGATATTTTGTTTCACCTTGTTCCCACTGCCTCTCATAAAAATGTCTTCTTGCAGCGGTTTCTTAGTGGACTATTAGGTGGTGCCTTCGGTAATCCCTTAGGTGGTGCCATAGGTGGTCCCTTAACTGGTAGTGGGTTGGACGGCTTCAAGGGGCCAGGCCTGGTTCCTTCTTTTGGGGTTAATTTTGGTAGTTTACCCACTGGTGGTGGATATGGTCCCTACGGTGACAGCAATCCCCTGGGCTTGGATCTTGGCCCCGTCTCTATCAATCCTTTCGTCGGATTTAAAATTGCAAAATTGGATGGACGACCCATCTTGAACCCATCACTGGACCTGTTGGTAACACCTAATGCTAAAGGAATCGAGGCCATTAAGGGTCTTAAGGATAAGATCAAATATGGTTTAGATCCTCATAAAGACGGTGGTTACTACCCCGGTGGTGGCTACTACCCTGGTGGTGGGTACTACCCCAGCGGTGGGTATTATCCTGGTGGCGGATCTTACCTAGGCGCTGGCTACTACCCGAGTGGGGGGTATTACCCTGGAGGAAGTTCGTATCCTGGTGGGGGCTACTATGCAGGTCAATACGCCGGAAGCGGTTATTATCCAGCTACTGTATATGGAAAGAACGAAGCTTTTGGAGGATACACCCCTCCTTATGTACCTGCCAAGCCTTTATACACGCCTCAGCCAGTGCTCAACTCTGGCTACCAGAAACCTTTGGGAACCGTCCACCAGCACCAACACACCCACTTCCACGACCAAGACGACTCCTTTTACAGTAACAGCTTCTCTCCCAGCTACAGCCCATATGGCCGCTCTGACCTCGAAGACAAGGCCGCTCCCTTCTCTCTTCCTCTTTCCTCACGTGTAACTCCAGATTCTCGTCTACCTGCTTCCTCATCCTTCTCTCCGTCTTTCTCCCCCTCCGATCCCGTGTTTTCTGCGAGGTCCTCGGCGAATAGCACACCCGATTCCGGGTTCAAGTTCCCCGACACGTAAATATAGCATTTTTCCTAAGTCATAACGTACGCCACCCTCGTCTTAACGTATCCCATCCACTTCCACAAATTATTTTGCTACAAAAATCATAAAATTTAAAATGAAAACAAAGGGTTCCCATGTTATTTTTGTTGTTGTTCACTAACGTTTGTATTAAATGTTTCAAAGTTCTTGATAGGCATTTCTTAAAAGAATTAACGGCTATGAATCCTGGGTGTTAGACCGTAATAAATGGATGGCAGAACCAGCAGGTGTCGCTAACATTTCAAGTCCTCGGTGTTGGTATCATTAACTTAAGCAGTACCATCACCACCATTAACTTTTTTTTTTATGTCAACACGACTTAACATTCGACATTTTAACTGAGTAATAACTTTAAATCTATGCAACAACTTTTAAACGTTTAATAAAGCTTCATGGACAACACACAAGACAATAAGAACATCAGACATTTTTGTATATTTATTACGTCGCATTAGGTTAGGCAAGATTTGTCAGGAATGAGGACAATTATTTCCTGACGTGGGTCTTAGTCATATGATGACCCGCCGCTGGAACTTTTGGCCATCTGACGAGGATCTTACCCTGGCTTACCGGTACACCCCTTTAAAATTTAATCCTTAATTACGTCGAGTTTTTCGTAAACATTTGTTCTGGTATCATGTCACCAGAATCTCAGCAGTGAAATGATAGTTATGTCATCACTTATATTAATTTGTATAATATTTAGCAATAGCAGGATAGAGCCTGTAATATTTTTAATGTGTTTGTATTTTGTTAGTGCGCTTTTCCTCGTATTTATGTATTAAATTATTAAGATATAGATGCACTGTAGAAGAGCCAATCGTAGAATTAGAAAATGCACCGTAGTTCCCACACCCAGCTGACTCTGCTTTGGTTATACCAGTAGTTTATTATTGTTGTTATTAAGATAACATTAAGATTTGTAATTGTAAATATCGATGTCATTTTGCTATTTACATATCGCATATGAATAAAATATAACATTGATATACGGTATAATATAGCGTGTAGTTTTTTATAAATAAAATTTTGCAGTTAAAAGTACATAGTGTTCAAGCCAATCCGTGTTGTAGCGATAATGTCATGTAAAGGGGATTCCCTGCTATAGTGGAGGCTTCTTGCTGTATTAAAACATAGCTGTAGTCAGCAAAATCCAAGATTAGAAACCCACAACTGTAGAAGCGTGTGTGTCTCACAAGGTATCGTCGAAGAATGTAGAGAAGAATTCTGGTCTCTCCGAAGACGACGAAGCTGCTCCACGCTTCCTCGGACCCTTTTTTAGCAACCTACCTATCGACATCACTCACAGTAGCAACCCATCCTTGTTCCTTACACATTCCCTACCCTCCACCCGTCTTTGCATCGTGGGGGTCCCCTCCAAATGCCTCCTCGTATAGGTTCCTCTTCGCTTTCCTCCCTTCCCCTGGGATCTCTCACCCTCTAAATTTCCGTCTTCCCTCTCAGGATCTCCCAATGGTCTTTCAGGTTCCCTTGCTTCCATTCTGTCTCCCGTTGGGTTTCCCTCACCCTTAGAAGGGTTTCTCTCGCAACTCAATCCCTCTGTGTCTCTACCTATGACCTCCCTGTCTCCTAGTGCGGCCTCCTCTTCTGCTTTCTCTCCCTATCGACCTCTGACATTAGTCGACAAGGTAGGGTCGTCTGCGGCACTGCATGGCCCTGCTGGCTTGGTGCCTCTTCCTCTGCATGACAGTCATCTCCAGCAGTATCTCCTCCCTGGGCGTCCTTCCCTCGATCTCCTTGGTCTCCGTGAAAGCCTCTGCTACTACTTCAGATGCAAGACGCTAGCCACCTACTGCCAGGTATGCTATGGTAGATGTAAACCTTCGATAGATGTGCCCTTTCGATAGACGTATTATTATTATTATAATCAAGGGGGAAGCACTAAACCCGTAGGATTATACAGCGCCTATGGGGGGATGGAAGGCATTCAGGCTTAATTCAGGGAACTGGAGCACAGATCCAATTCCCTAGATCAAGAGCCCCTCACCAGCGTCAAGGAGCCTTCCTTGAGGGATTCGATAGACGTAACACATGTTAGACTAACCTCTGATGTTTTGTGACTTTCAAGCATACAGTATGTTCAGGGAGAGTTATACAAATATATAAAGGAGCAATATTTATTACATAAGTTTTTCTATCAAAGGTGAGCATTGTTTTAAATCATGACTTGCAAAATAAGTCACTTTTGAGAGATGTTTTCAAATAGTCTTGCTCTACCTTGTCTTTATGTTGCCCTTCTTGTCGCCATTTTAACCTCCCATGTCCACGTATGGGTCCTGCGGCCTTCACCAGAGCTCATAAACACAAAACAATATGTCCAAAGTTATGTGTGATGTCACCGTGGTTGTTTAATATATTTATAGATGGGGTTGTAAGAGAAGTAAATGCGAGGGTCTTGCAAGAGGCGTGAGTTAAAAGATAAAGAATCACACATAAAGTGGGAGTTGTCACAGTTGCTCTTTGCTGATGACACTGTGCTCTTGGGAGATTCTGAAGAGAAGTTGCAGAGATTGGTGGATGAATTTGGTAGGGTGTGCAAGAGAAGAAAATTAAAAGTGAATACAGGAAAGAGTAAGGTTATGAGGATAACAAAAATATTAGGTGATGAAAGATTGGATATCAGATTGGAGGGAGAGAGTATGGAGGAGGTGAATGTATTCAGATATTTGGGAGTGGACGTGTCAGCGGATGGGTCTATGAAGGATGAGGTGAATCATAGAATTGATGAGGGGAAAAGGGTGAGTGGTGCACTTAGGAGTCTGTGGAGACAAAGAACTTTGTCCTTGGAGGCAAAGAGGGGAATGTATGAGAGTATAGTTTTACCAACACTCTTATATGGGTGTGAAGCATGGTGTATGAATGTTGCAGCGAGGAGAAGGCTGGAGGCAGTGGAGATGTCATGTCTGAGGGCAATGTGTGGTGTGAATATAATGCAGAGAATTCGTAGTTTGGAAGTTAGGAGGAGGTGCGGGATTACCAAAACTGTTGTCCAGAGGGCTGAGGAAGGTTGTTGAGGTGGTTCGGACATGTAGAGAGAATGGAGCGAAACAGAATGACTTCAGAGTGTATCAGTCTGTAGTGGAAGGAAGGCGGGTAGGGGTCGGCCTAGGAAAGGTTGGAGGGAGGGGGTAAAGGAGGTTTTGTGTGCGAGGGGCTTGGACTTCCAGCAGGCGTGCGTGAGCGTGTTTGATAGGAGTGAATGGAGACGAAAGGTTTTTAATACTTGACGTGCTGTTGGAGTGTGAGCAAAGTAACATTTATGAAGGGGTTCAGGGAAACCGGCAGGCCGGACTTGAGTCCTGGATATGGGAAGTACAGTGCCTGCACTCTGAAGGAGGGGTGTTAATGTTGCAGTTTAAAAACTGTAGTGTAAAGCACCCTTCTGGCAAGACAGTGATGGAGTGAATGATGGTGAAAGTTTTTCTTTTTCGGGCCACCCTGCCTTGGTGGGAATAGGCCAGTGTGATAATAAAAAATAATCACGGGGATGCGCTAAACCCGTATTATTATTATTATTATTATTATTATTATTATTATTATTATTATTATTATTATTATTACCATAAAAAAGAAGAGCTGAACCAGCTAAACCCATAGGATTATACAGTGCCTGGGGGGGAGTGGTCGAAGGTATTTAGGCTTAATTCAAGGAACTGGAGCACAGATCCAATTCCTTAGGTCAAGAGCCCCTCACCAGCGTCAAGGAGCCTCCCTTGAGGGGAATTAGTTATTACAACAATATTAATTCTGGCAATTAACAATAATTCAAATTCTTTTTACAGCTCCCCATCAGAGGATTATACGAACAAGTTATATTGTTAAAACCTGGGGTACAACATTAATTATATGTGTACAGAACACTTAAATATGAAATGTCAAAAAATACTTTTAATAATAATTGAATAGTTCCATTGACAATCTGGTTAATTTATATAAATCGTGTTGGTTGCAGGATGATCATTAAGGCCGTGTTGTACTTGTTTTATTATCGACTAATTTAATACCTAAAACTGGGATTAAAATGACTCTCAGCATATATATTGAAATATATACACTTCTCTATAATATACCGTTTGGTCTAGCTCTTCAACATTATTAGGTAAGTAAACACGATGATAAAATAAATCAACGTTGTATATACTCAAGCCTGTGTCTAGTCTTTAAACTAATTTTTTATGTATAAAAGAAAAGTGTGGCCTTATGAATAATATTTTTGTGAAGTTTAAATACATGTATGTTGCGGATCTGCTGTACACCAATTTCTTCATATTTAATGCATCAAAGAGCAACCAACAATCAATATATATTCTAAACCTTAATTTATGTTAGTGTTGTGTTCTCACTTGATGTTGGTGTTTGCCAGTATTTTAAGTGGTTATTACTGCAGCAGTGTCAGGTGTATGTACTGTGATACACATCATTGTAGCTAAGAAGGGAGGTAGTCATGGATAATGTTCTTAGTCTTAAGTAAATGTAAAGTATTAATTAAACCAGTGTGGGTCATTCAGCACTGTATAATAGAGGAGACATTGACTTTTAACAAGCCAAAATGGTGTTCTACTTCCCCTCAAAAACTAAGATCAACCAGAACACAACATAAGACAAACTGGGGATTTTTTTTTTAATAAAAAATGAAAAAAAAGCACACACTGCAGCACAAGATTTTAATAGGACAACGTTTTGTTTTGTGTGGGAATTTAAAATATTTGACACATTCTTCTGCAACTTGCACTTTTTCTTCACAGTTGTCGATTGCATCTCACTTGAATCCAACTTGAGCAAAGAAAGAAAAAATATCAAGGATTATCCTATGCAAGAGATAGACCTAAACTAGGGTATATTTGATTAATAACTTTTATTTTCTTAAGGTACTTCACAAATGGAGTTACAGGTCGGTAGTCCGTATATGTACAAACGGTAAAGCTCATAAATAGCATTTCGATGATATAAAATATGTGATGGACTCCCAGAAAGTTAACAGTTTAATCAGCAGGTAGAGAGGACGAGTTACGTACACGTCTCCTCCCCAGTTATTCATCCCTGAGTCGTTATCATGAGTATTACGAGTTATGTACACGTCTCCTCCCCAGTTATTCATCCCTGAGTCGTTATCATGAGTATTATGTTTATTTACACGTCTCCTCCAGTTATTCATCTTCTCTGTGAATTTAATAAGAAAATGTTTTTACTTAAATATAGTATGAGCAGGAAATAAATAAACAATAATAAGAAGAATTATACGAGCCGGAAAATAGTATATTGAACTGTGTCATTTCTACCATTGATAAATTTACATTAAGCTTATTTTTTTCTATAAGAATCAAACTTTTAAGTCTGTAAATGTCACTCAAACTAATTAAAGTGGTATAAATATCAATATCTTAATACTTATTGTATAATTACATCAGAAATGGTGAGCAGCCATATACTAACTATATTACCATGACCACCATTGAAATGGTAGAAATAGCACAAATATTTTCGGTCTGTCCAGAAGCCCTTATTAGATGAGTCATTAAAATAAATAAATTAATAATGTTACAATAATAATATCAGAAATAGTTGCATTAATGTTTATGTATTTGTTTTAAGTCTAGAATATAAACAGAAATATTATATATTCTGTATTAATGATAGTGTATTTGTTTTAATTTTTTAATACAGATCTGAAATATTTTAGTCATTAATATAGCAGTACATGTTTGCAGCGTCAGTCGGGAGGTGTTGCTGGCATGAACTGTGGGATTTTTGAGGTGTGTTGCAACCCAGAACTTTACCAGGGAGCCTTCTCCTCTAACTTCAACTCCTACAGCAGTCGCAGAGGTGCCTGCGGCCTTCAGAACAATGCCAAGGTCAACGGGCGCATCAATCACCCGCGTCACGAGGAAGGCGACGCTGAATTCGGTCAGTTGACGTACTTTTAGCAAGCAGTGGGTTTAATGTTTTCCATAGTTCGATGATAGGGGTAAATCATTATAATTAACATATATGGGTTAAAATCTCCTATTATACATTCCTAATAACTGTATTTTTGAGGAAATGTTCATGCATAAATTCCTAATACATTAACTCACTTAACATTTCTTAGCTTGTAATCACCTTGTAATAACCTTAGCTTATAATTACCTTAGCTGTAATAACCTGAGTTAAAATTATTTTATTTTCAATTTAAGTGAAGTATTAAATCCGTGTGTGTCATTCATCATTAATACAAAGAGTAGAGGAGGTTCGAGCCTTCATCACTTTAAGTGAGTCAGACACGTTCTACCTAGATACACCTTCAGGTCCTTCAAGGGAGGTGCCTAAATGCTGGGTAAGGCAGCAAGGAACTGAATGGAATAGACAAGGTAGCTTGTAATAATAGCGTGTTAATTTCTCTGATGGCAGGGGAGTACCCGTGGCAGGCAGCGGTGCTGAAGAAGGAAGGCTTCGACAACGTGTACGTGTGTGCTGGAACACTGGTCGACCACAGACATGTCATTACCGCCGCTCATTGTGTCAAGGGGTATGTATGAATATATATATGTATATACATATATATATATATATATTATATATATATATATATATATATATATATATATATATATATATATATTATATATAAATATATATAAATATATATATATATAATATATTAGTATGTAACCACGAAAGAGTGGTATTGATCAATAACAAATGCGACTAGCCGGGTTAAGATCAGGAAATTCGCTCACAACGAGGCGGCTAAACAACATGGTTTCGATCCTCCGGCTAGTCGCGTGTTATTGTGAAATACCATTGTTCGTGGTTTACAATACTATATATATATATATATATATATAATATATATATATATATATATATATATATATATATATATATATATAATATATATATATATATATAAAGAAAGGGGAGTGTAAAATTTTACTAAGCTAAAAATTTTTGTTTATGATAAGTTTTCCTCCTTATTTGTAGTCTTCGGACTCCCTTGATTTCTGCTGAAAACTCTAAATTAAGAAAAAAAAATAGAGCTCTCATATTTCCTTAAATCAAACCTAATGATAATCACCTATTCCTCAGGCGCTGTATGATTGGTAGGGTTTAGCGCTTCCTTATGAACACAAAACTATTTTTTTATTATCATGAAGAAGTGCTAAACCTGTAGGTCCCAGCACCTGGGGAATAGAAGACAATCTTATTTAATCAGAGTCTCCTTTCACCAGCATCACGGTAACCTAGGGACAATGCACAGGTCATGGTGTTCTAGATGACCCTCAAAGGATTTTTTTCCTTATGATGAAGAATGAAACCCCTCAAGTAGGGTCCGCCTGTGAATGAGCATAAATGAGCCCTTCAAGGTAGGTACCTTGATGAGTGCTAAGATGACCCCTCAAGGGAGGTTCCTTGATGATGCTAAGATGACCCCTCAAGGGAGGTTCCTTGATGATGCTAAGATGACCCCTCAAGGGAGGTTCCTTGATGATGCTAAGATGACCCCTCAAGGGAGGTTCCTTGATGCCGGTGAAGGATTCTTGATCCTTAGTATTAGCTGTGCTCTTCCCTTCCTTGCAACCATCAAGCCTAACATTCCCTCAAGCGTTTATGATAATCTGCAGGTTAGAGCTTCTTCATGGATGTAATAATATCATAGTAATCTGAAGTGAACCCTCTGAATGGCAGTACAGGCTTCTGATTGAGGATCCCTCGGGAGAATGGGAAGTGACCCTGGGAACAGATTCTACCCTTATCGATAGTGACGTCAGTGCTCTCTTCGTCAACCCAGACTTCTACTCCGGCAACCTCATCAACGATATCGCCATTGTCAGAATTGAATTTCCAGTCGACTTTTTAAAAAAGTAAATAAATTCTTGAGGAATCTTTTAACTATAAACCAGGTGTGTGATATAGTATATGTATGTATGTATGTATATAATATATATTACTTATACTAATATATATTTTTATATATCATATATTATCATACTATAATATATCCCATATCATAATATAATTTCATATATATTATTAAATATATATAATAAATATTATATAAATTAATATTAACTATATAAAATGTGTGTGTGTTGGTGTGATATATGTATATTTATATATATATATATATATATATATATATATATATAATATATATATATATATATATATATATATATATATATGAAACCCCTACGGATTTAGAAATTCCTATTAATATAATAATTTTTAATAGGTTTGTTATAGCATTTGCAAATTCGTCTCTTTTATCATTAAAATTGTTAGGTTTTATCATTTAAAAACGTTGCAGAATAAGAGTCACAGTACCGTGGGTGAAGTCACAGTTATCCTACAGAACTTAGATAAGTCAAGGAAGGATTGATCCTTCCTCTGAGATCTTTTAACATTTCTGTATTTATCCCATCAATCCCAGCTGCCTTACCCCCCTTTCATTCTACCCACTGTCTCACGAACTTTTCCCACACTCTCAACTGGCTCTTCCTCACTCCTACAAGATGTTATTCCTCCTTGCCCTATACAGTGTTCACTTAATATTAAATAAATAAACGTTCCTAGGAGTTAGTCAAGTGTTGTGTGTCGGATCATAGGGAAGGACCCAAGAATTTCAATGGAATTAAGTCACACTACTTGGTTTACTTGAGTTATCCTTGAATCAATATGAACCTTCGGGGTTACTAAACCAAAGAATATCGTCTTTTCCTAGCAGAGGGTATATACCCTGAGAAGTGTATGTCTCTTGTATATGCCCCGAGAGGTGTATGCCTCGTGTATATCTGAGAGATGTATATCTCGTATATCCTTAGAGGTGTCTCGTATATCCTTAGAGGTGCTCGTATATACCTCGAGAGGTGCATGTCTGTGTATTACAGAGTTCATTCTAATTTTGTTTAGGGTTTCGGGTATTCTTGATATTAATGTGCGATCATTCGGTTTTAAATATAGGCTAGGAGAGACATAGCTGCATGTAAAAACAATACACGAATATCCCGCACGAAGGAGAGGAGAACTTACGACGACGTTTCGGTCCGACTTGAACCATTTACAAAATCCCCTCTCCTGTGTTCGGGTTATTTGTGCATTGTTCCAGTGACGGTATTGTGCCTTTTTCTTATGTAAATACAATAACAAGTTGAGACGAAATAATTCACATAGAGGCAGCAGATCTGCTGCCTCCATGTTGAAGCCGAAAGTCGAAATATATTTCCTCTCATTGACAAGTGTTCTTTATACTTCGATTTACCAACAGGGTATTTAGGTGGGTAGCTTTGAAATGAGTTACAGTAGGATAACATCTCTTGTGCTGCAAATTGAACCTTGTAAAAACTGAAACACTAACTAGCCTCTTGTTCAACAGCCCTCACATAGGACCAGTTTGTCTGCCCAGTCGAGTCGACTTCACTGGTCAGAGGTGCTGGGTATCAGGCTGGGGCAAGGATAACTTCGACGAGACAGGACAATACCAAAACATTCTCAAGGTTAGTACCAGAACATAATTTTGGTTAGTAGCAGCATTATTGGTTTCTGGTTAGGGTCTAGATGAGTACCAGAGCATCTTCAATTTTAGTATCCACAGACGAGGCTATAGTGGGGGTTTTACCTCTTCATTGAGAGATTGTTTATGGCGTGGCCTCCGAGCTGGTTTTGAGTTTCCCATAAATTGTTAATTAACGGGAAAGTTGCAAAGTTTTGAAGTTACCATAAAACTTCCCACAGTTTGGTTATTTTAAGATTATTATTAGCTGAATCAAACGTCACTCACTATCTCTTAAATCTTCAGGTACTGAAGCCACTTGAGAAATTTAATGGTTAACTCATCACGTGTCATTGCATAACTCAGATCATATTAAAAATTTCAGAATCCATCCTAGAAACATCTGCTATGGTGAGATTTGCTATCACTGCTTCATTCACGTTGAATAATGACTTAAAAATATTTTTACAGTGGATTATTATTAGATGATTTTGTACTGTAATGACTCACGGAAGTGCGGCTGGTGATGTTGTCATACAGAGTGATGGCTCTCATAAAGAAATTGGAGCACGCATCAATACCTTGGCCTCTACCCTTCAAACAGAACTGTTGCCATACTCCTTGCACTCTCTGTTATCCATAAATGCTCTCCGCTCATTTATTATGAATTGTGGCATACTTGTGTCAGAAGTCAGACACAGGTATGGTAGGATTGTGAACAATGGAGTCCGAGTACACCTGTGGATTCCGTCTCACATTGATCTTCAGAGGCATGATAGAACTGATGAATTGTCTAAGTTATATGCCTTCAGAGAGGGACTGGATTACAGTCTTGGCTTGTCAGTTTACAGTTTGAGAACAATAATACGAAAAGAACTTCAACTGAACTTTATTAAAACTGAGGAGACTGACACAGTCAGTCCATCTGTCATCATTCCATCATGCAGGAGGAGCCACATGTCTATGGCGCATCCAACAAAATAAGCCGAGTAAAAGGACACAAGTGCAACTAATGTGACATTTTATTGTGGCAACGTTTCGCTCTCCAGGAGCTTTATCAAGCCATTACACAATAAAATGTCACATTAGTTGCACTTGTGTCCTTTTACTTTACATATTGTCGGTAATTCTACCAACTTTATTACAAAATAAGCCAACTCTTGGATGTCACTACCGCCCGGCTCCGGGTGGGTTACAAGTATTTTTGGAAGGTTAAATCACCACCACCAGATGTAGACCAAACGAAATGTATATTTGCCAGATGGACTTTTGTCACGTGAACTTGCAGCATTATGCACTGGAATGCAATAAAATTAATGAGTTTAGAGAACTCACTCAGAGATGTTCAAGATATGTCAAAGTATTTCATCCACAGTGGTATATTATAAACTATTCCGGAAAAATACCCAGGCTTTGCTCACTGTAAATAAAGCATTACCACTAATGTCTGCATAAAAAACTCATTACGATTGTGACCAGATATAAACATGCACAGTAAATAGTTTATTACCACTGTAACTTTTTCAGATATCAAAACTTTGCGGTCCAGTCCCTGGACCCATTATGTACCTCTGTAATCTTTTGACTACCGCCCACAGGATTGGTATGGGGCGCATGATAAAAATATTAAACTAAATCACGGAATCGTATCAACATAGTTGCAAACGAATCACAGAGTGGGTGGGACTCAAACCAATTTGGGAAGCGAGTTCTAAACTGGCATGCCAGTTCTGGGATTTGTACTGTAATATTAAAGCCAATAGTGAACAGAGGATCAAACCTCCATCATTGTGCCGAATGACCTACACGGGCTTAGCGCAAATATAATCTGTAGCTCCTCAGTTTATAAAAGAAACGGGTTATGTTCTTGTAGTAAAACCCTATAGGTTATACAGTGCATGGAATGCTGGAGGCTCGATCTTCCGTTTGATAATAGTACAACCTGTGTTCACCAAGTCATTAACAACAACAACGGTGACAATAATAATGTTACTACTACTAAGCTATAGAGAACTAATAATAATGCATATGGTGGGTTGTTATTTCAGGAGGTGGACCTGCTGGTGGTGCCACGGTACGCGTGTGAAGCAGCGCTGCAACAGACGAGGCTGGGCGCCACCTACCGCCTCCATCCTGGCATGCTGTGTGCTGGTGGGGAACCCGGCAAAGATGCCTGCAAGGTGACATACAGTATTTCCTCAAGCACTGTATAACCCCTACGAGCATTGCGTTTCCTCACGAATATAATAATAATTGAATGTTTCATATTTTATACGTTCTCGCTCTGGTTTATCTTGGGCATTATTACTGACCAATAATGTTATGGCAATTTGAAATCTCCTCGTATATTAGCTCTACCCTCATACCCATTCTGTGGTCGGTAATGATCCCATCCTGTGGGTGGTATTCACATCATGCTAATCTTGTAATGGTAATTCCAGTCCCGAGGGTTGTCACATTTGCTGGTAATTCGACTGTCGGCAAACCTAACTTAACCTAGACTTTCATTTTTTTAACTTTATTTCCGTTCATTGTGGTAGTCATCCCTATACCCTAGTACTAAGGATGTAGGATGTAGTCAAAAGATTAGAGGCACATAATGGGTCCAGAGACGGGCGTCACTGATACAAAATATTCCTTCCTTTCTATGTGCTTCAATGTGATTGGTTTTAACAGGTTTTGCAGCGTCAAAAACTCACTCCAGCGAGAACCTTAAGGATCCAAAATGTGTATCACGGTGATATCATGACCGTTGCAGGTCACTCGTTTAATTTGAAGAGAAGACACATGTTGCAGTACAAGCTTTTATTGATGCAACTTTTCGCTGTGTCCCAATAAAATGCTTGTTCTGCAGCGTGTTACTTTTCTTTGTAATAATCGGTGGTGCGTCATCTGCATTCAGAGATTTACCAATCATGTGTGCGATTCTAAACGTTAATAATGCTAGTGCTTGTATACTTTCTATATCAAAATACCTTTTTTTCTACTAGACACTGATATAAATACTATATATATTCAACACAGAAAAAAAATTACCAACATGAAAACCTGTGCAATATGCAAAAATAGTTCCAAGTGAGATATCGCTTGGGTTGCATGTAATTTCTGTAAAAAAGGGGTCATGGTACATGTGCAAATATCCACCAATATACCACTACTGATATTAAAACAGGGAAATGTTTCTGGGTCTGCCCAAGCGTCAGAACACATAGAGAAAATTTTCATTTATACTAAAAGACAGAAACACGAAAAAAATCCTTTTTTTTGAGTAATTTGACAGTCTTGTATGACAGTTGGGAAAGTAAAGAGAGTAGGGCAGTTGGAGCTGTCACCCCTGGTACTGCCTTGGAAGACAGTACCTGTAAAGATATGGAAATGTAAGACAGTGAACCAGGTGGAGATAGTGGACCTGGTATTGAAGAAACAGGTAAAGATCTAGACTTACAAGATCCAGAAATACAAAACAACAGTACTGCTGGAGATGAAAAAAAAAGGGGGAGGATGCTTCAGGGAATGGTGTTGGTACATTACTAGTACTAACTGGTGGTAGTACTGATGCTAATACAGGTGGTACAGATAGTAGTCAGAAAAAAACTGCACCAGTAGGAAACCCAGCCACAAAAAAGTCCTGGCAAACAGAAATCGTATCTGTGCAAATTCTATGCCTTGGGTATCTGTAGGCATGAAATATCTGGAAAAATAGGTGGGACGTGCAGTTTTGATCATCCAAGAAAATGCTGCGACCTCATGACCAAAAGAGTATGCAGTTCTTCTTGTAAACTATTTCAACTTGAAATGTGTTATTCATCAGTCAGTGAAGACAGTTACAACTCATTACAGTTATGACCGAGTGTGGACGTGTGAATTGCTCATTACTTTGTAATGTGTTTATGACTGTAACCATGTATAGACGTGTAGATGATTCATTACCTTTGTAACTTGGTAAGTAAGTAAATAAGTTTATTCAGGTATACACAAATACAGTTATATAGATTATCATACATAGCAGCATATGTGTGTAAAGTACCCAGGATAACCCAAAAAAGTCAGACAGAGTGACTTACTTCCATTGAGGTCCTTACTTATTTCCAGATCTACCTGGAGTTCATTACCTTTGTAACTTGTTCAGCTATCAGAACTTTGGGGCCCAGTCCCTGGACCCATAATGTACCTCTAATCCTTTGACTACTGCCCACAGGATGAGTATAGAGGTGCATAATATATTAAACTATGACCCCTTACTGGCGTAGGCCTATTCCAGTGATACCTAGTCAGTAGACCTAGTCAGTGATCCCTAGCCAGTAGGTCTACTACAATGATCCCTAATCAGTAAGCCTACATCAGTGATCCCTCGCCTTAGGCTTACGCTAGTGATCTTGTATTCTTATGTTGCCTCTAAGGAGCCGGGTGTACCCTGATGTCGGTAAAGGACTCTTGTTCCAAGGAATTGAAGCTACCCCCGTTTTTCATTGGATCAAATGCGATTGCCTCTCATTCCCTAGGTGCATTATGACCCCTATGGTTTAGCGCTTCCTCCATAAATGTAATAATATTAATAATAATCATATTTTACAGGGTGACGGTGGGGGCCCCTTGGCGTGTGAGGGTCCAGACGGACGGTACCAGCTGGCCGGGATAGTGTCTTGGGGGATAGGCTGTGGTTCCTCTGGTGTTCCCGGCGTCTATGTCAGCGTTGTTCACTACTTAGATTGGATCACACAAATAATTAAATTCTAGTCTCCACCTTCTAACTCTGAACTCCTCCTAGACCTCCTATCTTAACGATCGTTTCACGAAATCATATAAGATTAACAAGCTCTGAGATGCTCCTGGTTCTATAATCGAAGTCCCATCTAGCACACTATGAACTCGACATAGTTATAGATTTGAGGTTCTCTGCCTTCAGGATAATACCAACCAGATTGGGCCCATTAATTTACAAATTACAGGTTCCATTATCTCTGATCTGTCGTCTGATTTTTCATAAATTTTGAACATCTGCCTTAAGATAAAATACTTTCTTAGTTCTATGTTTGGGTTACCAGAAATCCTAAGTTTTAGAATCCATTTTCAGTCTCATGTTGATTGCTTGAAGGTTTTTATCTAATCTACTCAATGGAGTCCAATGTAGAAGTTTAATTCGTGGTTTGACGTTGAGCACCACATTTCTAAGTTCACAGCTTCATTCTAGCTTCTACAAGGCAGGTTTATTGTGCTAACCTCGTCCTGGTCACACTCTGCAGGTTCACAGGTCCTAGTTATGTAATGGACGATCACCAGTCTGTATTATTTACATTTTCTAAGCTTTTAAATTAACTTTTCTAATTCACAAAGTTCTTTGGCCTAGATTCTAATTTCATAATTCCAAAGTTTGGGTTCTAGGCTAACTGAAGAAAAAAAAACACGACTCACGAAATCGTAATGACACGATTGCAAACAAACCATACCACATTGTCTCAATAATTTGTTTTACGGTGTGGCCTTTCTTCAATATTTTCTGCAGTACGCCTTGTAGATACATATAGGTAAATTGTTGTAGGGTCTAGTTGAGGATGTATAACCTACACTAGGCTGGTTGAAGCATGGCGTAGCTGACATGTGGTCAAAGGATAAAGCAAAAAGAGACCTTTAGTAGTAAACCTTTTTACCTACATGTTGTACTTGGCAAAGCTTCATGTAGGTGAAATATCGTACTAACAAGGGTTTCCTTTCGTTGGATATCTTTAAATTACACTAGGCTGGTTTCCTGCACTAATGGACATTGTATTGTTGTCCTCGGATCTCTCTAAAAAAAAAATCAGTTGTTTTACCTTTGTTATCGAGTTGTTATTTAGTTATTTTAATGTCAACATTTACAGGGAGAGGTGAAATACCTGATCAGTGTTAGTATCTTATTGCAATCAAGAAACCCTAGGGTTTCGGGGGTCAACGCCCCCGCGGCTCGGTCTGAGACCAGGCCTCATGGTGGATCAGGGTCTGATCAACCAAGTTGTTACTGCTGGCTTATTCTTAATGTGCCTTTGATATACCTTCGATGAGTTTCGAAAGTTACTACTCACGGAGCCCGGCCATGGGTCAGGCTCGTCTGGTGCTAGCCTGGTCAACCAGGCTGTTGCCCACTGCCTCACATATCTATCACAGCTTGGTTGATCTGCGGCCTGGTGAAGATACTTGTCCAGTTTTCTCTTCAAAACTTCTACACTTGTTCCAGCATTGTTCCTGATATCTTCTGGTAAGATGTTGAATAGTCTGGGACCACGAATGTTGATACTACTTATGTATCAAGACCAGCCTTGATTCTGGTCAAGAACTAGAACCAAGAAATTGAAAACTTCCATCGCCTTCCGCGGCTCACCTCTCATTCCCCTGGTGCTGTATGACCCCTAACGGGTTTAGCGCTTTGAATGTAATAATTATTTGTATCAGGAAGTGTATATAACATGAGTGAACACTTGATCAGTTACTCATATTCATTATTACTTATGAATTCTGCACTAAAAATAGTTATATAGCATGTATACTTGAGTCTCGCTGCAGGTCAGCTGGTCTGTGTTTGTAAATAATAAGCCTTTATTGTATTGCCTAAAGCCAATAAAATGTTGAATTTATGCATGTATTCTGTTTATTACTAGTGATTCCGTGTTTTACTGTATAAACTAATGTATAAACATGCGAAATATTAAAATAAATGTATATTATGCATTTGGTACTGCTTTTGGCTTACAACCAAAGACAGGGTTCGATCCTGGGGTGGGTAGAGACCTGGGCATGTTTCCTTACACCTTTTGCTCTTGTTCGGTTATTATTACCATACTCTAGAGCTGATTTGAGAGGGACATGACCTCCCAACGACTATATTCTTACCTCTACTAGTGGCCTACATCTCACCTCCTGGTGGTATATAAGGCTCCTTCCTGTCACTTCAACTCAAATTCAAATTAAAATTCAAAGTTTATTCTCTATAAGGATTACAATGCTGAGTTTACAGAAATTTGGTTATTGTTTGGTTTACATGTAGTAAAATTGTGATTACAGAGTGTACCACTAGAACGCTTAGCATGGCTAGGCATTTCGGGCATACTTAGTTTTATTCTTAATTGTAAAATATTACAAATTATGAGGTAAGTTGGTATTATGGCTAAGTGACTAAATACTAGTTTGTGAGTTTAGCAATGTGAATGCTTTTGTTTTGGCACAGTACATAGTTTCAGTATTGGAGTATAACAGGATTCATTATTTTAAGACTGAGATTAATATTTCTGTTTATGGTCAAATGAGTGAGTGAGTGTAAGTGTGAACCACCAGGTGGTATTCGTGTAGTTAGTTGACGGGGTGTATCAGGGAGATAAGATGTTTTCTAATGGTAGTTTTGAAGGTGATGAATGTGTCTGCAGTTCTAGAGTTCTCAGGTAGGGTATTCCAGATTTTAGGGCCTTTGACATACGTTGAATTTTTGTAAAGGTTTAGTCGGACATGGGGAATGTCGTAGAGATGTTTGTGTCTGGTGTTATGCCTGTGGGTTCTGTCACAACTATCAAGAAAGCGTTTTAGGTCAAGGTTGATATTAGAGTTTAAGGCCCTGTAGATATAGATTGTACAGTAGTAAGTGTGGATGTACTGGACTGGGAGTAAGTTTAGATCTATGAAGAGTGGGGGGGTGTGTTGCCAGGGATGGGATTTAGTGATTATTCTTACTGCAGCTTTTTGTTGGGTTATTATTGCTTTAGGTGTGTTGCTGCAGTTGATCCCCAAGCACAAATAGCATAGGTGAGGTATGGATAAATAAGTGAGTGGTATAGTGTGAGAAGGGCATTTTGCGGGACTTTAGTATCGTATCGGGGAGAGGACCCCAATTTTTTTGGGATATTTTTTTTGGCTATATGCGGGGAAGGGGTGCAAAAATTAGGTTGTTGTAAGGTAAAGCCTGGGTTTTTTTCCCCCCATTATTTCTGGTAATTAAAATTTGTTGTAAAATTTTTAAATTTTTAAAAATTTTGGTGAAACTTTCCCTCCCTCTGTACCAAACAAAATATAATAGGTTTTGTCAGTGTTAACGTAAGTTTATTGGGGGTCATCCAAGTCGATTTTTTAAATCAGCCCCTCATTCAAAATTTGGTTTGAGGGTGGCAAGATGTTAAGTTGTGCACCCAGAAAAGGGAAAATGGGTTTCAGTTTTGGGGAACTTTTTGGAAAAAAAAAAGGTAAAGGGATGTATATGAGGAAAGCAGGGGACCAAGGCCTTCCCGCGGAACTCCAGTATAAAGGGGCCCGTGTTGCAAAAAGCGTGTCTTTAATGGTGACGTACTGATACCTTTTAGTAAATAAGATTTGAAAAAAAGCAAGGCATGGCCTCTTATACCATAGTAATTAAGTTTGTGGAGTAGGTTTGTGTGGTTACTGGGGTTAAAAAGCTTTTCTTGGGTCAAAAAAAAATTCCCTAGGGGAAAACCCTTTTTTTTCCCAATGCTTTTAAAAAAGCAGATCAAACTTTTTATAAATTGAAATCATTAGTGCTTTTTTTTCCTGAATCCAAACGGGGGGGTTGAGTTTTTTTTTTGAGCTGTTTAAATGAATACGGGTTCCTGTGCACGAGTTTCTCAAAGATTTTGGATACCCAAGGAAGTTAATTTGGGCCCAAAAAGTTTTTTAAAGTCTGTAGGGTCACCCCCTTTTAAAGAAATTGGGTTTGAAACCCTTGCCATCGGTATTTTTCGGGAAGGTGCTAGCCTTACTTGTTAAAAAAAAATGAAATAGCATGCGAAAGGACAGGGGGCCGCTCGTTGTCCCAGAAAATGGTGGGCCCTGAGACAGATTCCCCGAGTTATTTTTAATTGATTTTAAATAAATCCAATGATTTCCATGGGCTAAAGTTGGTGCAAGATAAAGGTTTTGGGGAAAATTTCCCCCATCTAGGTAGCCCCGGGAAAGGGCATTGGAAAAGGGGGTTTTTTACTGGCAAGATTAGATCCTATATTTGAAAAAAAGTCTTTTAATTTTTGTTACCCCTGTGTCAGGGGGAATGTAGTGGTTTTCATTAGGTTTAGTTGGCCCAAAAATTTTTGGGTTTTTTCTCATTTTGGGGGGGTCCCTAAATTGAGTGTTTTCCAGGTCTTTTTTTATATTCCTTGGGTGTCTAAAAAACCACGGAGTAGTATAGTTTTTTTTGGCTTTTTTTTTTAATTTTGGTGAGAGCTGATGAATATTTTTTTAAAAGATTTCTTTTGTGTAAAAACCCCTGTCTATATTGCTTTTATTTTGGGGTTTTCTTGTCAATGGTTTTCAGAAAGGGTGCGGTTACCATGGGCAACCAACCGTTTTTTTGTGATTTTTTTTGTTTTTATAGGAAATGTTTGTTGTATAGTTAAAAATTTTTTTAAGAAAAATTTTCTGCCGGGTCATCAATCCCTTTTGGCCTTGGAAAATTTTCTGTAGGCCAATCAACAGTCTCTGGGTTTCAGCGGGAACTTCCTTATGGGGCCCCGGCCCATGGGGGTCTAAATGAACTTTGTTGTATTCAAGGGGTGGTTTACAAATTTTTTGCCCGGAGGAAAGTGGGGTTAGTGGGTCTGTAGTGCTATCTGTGATTATCCCTTTTTTAAAGGGGGGGTAGAAATATTGGTCCAATGGGTTTTTTTGGGTTTGACTTGTCTCAGTGGGGCCTGGTTGGTTTATTTAAATAGTTGGTATGAAAAGGGTTTTGTTGTTCTTTATTTTTATTGAAATCAGTTACAGGCTGATCATCTAGAAACCCAAGGGGTTGATGTTGAAGCCCTCCAGCAAAGAAAAGGGTTCCCAATTTCATTTGTCTTTTTTTGTTATTAGTGCCCAAATTTCTCACTAAAATTTGGGAGGGTTTGTGTGGGGGTACCCGGGTAAATGGCACCGATTGTTATAGGCGTCTTAAGTTTTTTTACAGAAAAATTAGCAAAAATGTTTCCCCCAAATTCATAAACAAAACCCAAGGGGTTTTGGGGCAAGACAAGTTTAATTTGGTTAGAGTATTGGGATTGCAATACCCCCCCCCAACTTTTTTGGTCTGCAGTTGGAATTGTTGTGTATCCTGGAAAAGGGTTTAGATACCCTTAAAAGTGCCCCCTTTTAAACCCAAAGGTACAGTAAAAAAAAGCAGGGGGAAAGGGTGTCTTTAGTGATTAAGGAAAGGCTAGGGGGTTTCATCATAGTGTTTGTTTAAAGGAAACCTGATGTTGTTTTAAAGTCCTGATAGATTTTTAGCATTTTTTTAGGTTGGGTGGTGGTTGTGTTCTGTGAATACAGCATTTTTCTTTCCAATATTTTGATTGGGTGTCAGATTATGGGGTTTAGTTTCAGGGTCAACGTAAATAAATTTCATCTTCTGGGTTTTTAAATTATGGTTATTTATACCCCTGAGTTTTTTGTGTTGAAAATTTTAGTACGATAACGTAGTTTGGGAAAGGAAAATTTTGGGCAAGTATATAGCTAGAGTATTTTGGTCATGTAGGGTATAGTCACTACTAACAAATGAAGTTGATGTTGTCTATGTGTTGTGCGGAATGAAACTAAAGTACAAATGGTATAAACTAGGGAAAAAAAAAAATACAAAATTTAAAAAAAGAACAAACTCTCACTTGTAAAAGCACTAAGGTCTAATAATGACTTTTGTGGGTCTATGTTTTTGGGGCTAGAATAGCCTAAAGTACAAAAAGGTTTAAAAATAAAAAAATTTAAAATACAAATTAAAAATGGGACTAGTCTCTCCTAGTTTAAATTTCAAATATGGTCTAAATTTGTGGAAAATTTGGGATTGACTATGGGAAATTTAGTTAGAATGAGCTATGGGACAACTTAAATTTTTCTAATAATATAAAAATACAAATTAAAAATAGCACTAAAATCTCTCACTATAATTCACTATGGTCTAATAAAAGTGAATTTTTGGGATTGAAATATGTATTGGGGCTAAAAGAGATAGTAAAAACTAGGGTTTTGTCCCAATAATAAAAAAAATACAAATTACAAATAGCAAACCCGTCCCCACCCCAGTAATTTCACAAGGTCTAGTATTGAAATTTTTTATTGACTAAAGTATTGAGCTTTTGAATACTAGAGAAAAATGTGATAAACTAATAATATAATAAAGGGGAAAAAGACCTCAATTTTAATTGCACTAAGGTCTTATATTTAAATTTTTTTTTTTAAAAAGAAATTTGAGTATAAAAATTTTTAAAATTTACGGATAAAATAACAAATTAAGGGACAAAATAATAAAAAAAAATGATAAAAATAAAAATGGGGAATGACTTGGTTTTTAAAATGCTAGTAAAATGGCAACAGGATAATATTAAAAAATTTTAGTTGAAAAATTTCTAGGTTTAAAAAGTATGGAAAAAAAGGGGCCCAAAAAAAAAAGTTTACAATAAGTTTGATCAAATGTTTTAAAAATAAAA